TGGTAAAATTCTTTAAAACTGCAGAACTCCCTTGAAAATATCCTGTACTCCCCAGTTCCTTAGGAATAATTTGAGAAACATCAGCCTTTACCTGAGAATTAAACCTCTCCATTCTCTGAGCCAAAGAATAATCTTATGGTATAGTGGCTAAGAGTATGGGCTCTTACCTGAGTTGAATGTTGATTCTTACTAACTAAACAGTGCAAACCTGAGTTTGAATGTTGATTCTTACTAACTAAACAGTGTAACCTGGGACAGTTAATTCACCTCTCTGAGTCTGGTTTTTTATCTTTAAAAGGAGCATAATGATGATTACATGAGGGGATTGTTAGGAAGATTGAATGGTATATACACACAATGCCAGCCACCTAGTAATGGGTTCAGAAAATGGGTTATTTATTCCTCTTTTCTTGCCCCCACCCAGTCCTAGTTTATATTGAGCACATATGCTACCCTCCCTGGGAGCCAGAATCCCTCATATGTTTAGAAAATATGTTAAGAAGAGTATGTTTGTAATAGTGCTGAAAAAAGAAGGCAGGGCATCAGTGACTAGTTTAGAATGATTTTTTTGAATAATGGAAAACAGGATAACTGTGGGGTAGGAGCTGTTACAGGGAGGTTTTTGCCAACAAAGAAGGACACAAGCAGGGATTAGACCTGGGCATTTGTCTGGGTGCTGAATTTGAATTTGGATATCCACGTTGGATCTTCCCCTCTTGTACCTCTGCTCCATCCGTGCCTATTGCCATCATTCTATCCTGCAGTAGTGGTATGGACTCTGAGGCTAGAACTTTTGAGTATGTCCTGGGTGTTTAATGGTTCCCAGGAGGAATTGGGAGCTAAAAAGAAATGTGCTGGTCTTCAGATTTAAAAGAACCTTGGGAAGCTTTTCAGAACTCTGAAAAAAAACCAAAAAACCACCCACACCTATGTCTATTGTGGTGAAATTTCAGCATATTGAGACTATGAAAAGGAAGATCTGAGTTTCAGGTTGCCACTAGAGGAATCTAGCCAGAACAACAGGGCAAGAAATAGAAATGAAAGGCATATAGATGGAAAAGAAGTGGAACAGCCTCTATTTGTAGATGAAAGACTGTGTATGTAGAAAGACCTAAGGAATCTACAACAATGAAAAGCTATTAGTAATGAGTTTAGCAAGATCACAGGATATAAGATTAGTATATTTTAAAAATTACTGTATTCTTATACTATCAATGAACAATTAATTATAAGTTGAATTTTTTAAGTGCTGTCAAACACAAAATACTTAAGAATAAACTTAACAAAATGTAAATATGATCTATACATTGAGAACTGACAAACATTGCTGAGAGAAAATTAAAGAAAATCTTAAAATATGGAGAGAGATACCATGTTCACGGACTCAAAGACTCAGTACTGATGGCAGTTCTCCCTACATTGACCTATTAGAATCAGTTTAATGCCCCAACAAGCTTTTTTTGTTTGTTTGCTTGTTTTTTCAAAAGCTTAAAAGAGGAGAACAGATCCACCTACGAGTGAGTAAGAATCAGTTTGTCTTGCCGAAACCGGTTTGGCTCAGTGGATAGAGCGTCGGCCTGCGGACTAAAAGGTCCCAGGTTCGATTCCGGTCAAGGGCATGTGCCTGGGTTGCGGGCGCTTCCCCATTGGGGGATGTGCAGGAGGCAGCTGATCGATGTTTCTCTCTCATCGATGTTTCTGACTCTCTCTCTCCCTTCCTCTCTGTTAAAAATATATTAAAAAAAAAAAGAATCAGTTTGTCTTACCTGCACACTGGATGTTAGAATACAATGGAGTAAAGCCTTAAAAGTCTGAGATAAGTCTAAAAAGATTAATTTGCGATGTTGAATATTAACTAATCAGCTAAAAAAAACTAGATAATCTCAAGTTGGGGTGGTGGGGCTCTAGAGGAAAGTGGGGGAATATGGTATAGTTCTTATTTAGGGGGAAAGATGTAGTGCACAATACAGTGCCTGCTACACAGGAGAGAGTGGATATTGAATGGTTATATCCTGACAAATCTATATTGATGGAAGTAGGTTTAAATGTTTTAGTCTCTAGAACAGTGATGGCGAACCTATGACACGCGAACTCATTTTTTTGGTTGATTTTTCTTTGTTAAATGGTATTTAAATATATAAAGTAAATATCAAAAATATAAATCTTTGTTTTACTATGGTTGCAATATCAAAAAATTTCTATATGTGACACAGCATCAGAATTAAGTAAGGTTTTTTCAAAATACACTCTGAGCTCAAAAGGTTCGCCATCACTGCTCTAGAAGAATAGAAACAGGATGTTTGTCAGTCTTTCAAACCAATAAAGTTAAACATCAGAATATGAACAGAAAACTCCATCGATTTAACAAAAGGTGTTTGGGGTGTATTTTGGTTTTGAACTTGAAGAATAAAAAAGACCAAAGTGACTTGCTTGTGAATAGGAGAATGACCTTCGTAAGGTTCAGATAAAGAGATACTCTGTATCAGCAGCAGCCAATGGGTGGTCCATGGTGTGATGTTTCCCTGGCTGGTGTGGCTCAATTGGTTGGGGTATTGTCCTGTGCACCCAAGGGTTTTGGGTTCAACCCCTTGCCCTAGGGCACATGCAGGAAGCAACCAGTCAGTGTGTCTCTTGCACATCCATGTGTCCCCACTCTCCCCCTCTTTTCCACTCTCTAGAAGTCAATGGAAAAAATATTGTGGGGTGAAGATTAAAAACAACAAAAGAATGGTGTGATGTAGATCTTGCCTACTGCGAGAGTCAGAGTTACTGGTGAACTCACCTCACTTCATGAGATAGGAGCCCATAGGCCAGGTGTTTGGACTAACCTTTAGGTGTTTTGTGTTTCTTGCAGATGTTCCCACAAGCCTGCACTTCCAGAGCATGCTGAAATCTCAGTGGCAGAATAAACCTTTTGACAAAATCAAACCTCCCAAAAAATTTTCACTTAAGCACAGAACACCCATGCCAGGCAGTCTGCCAGATCCAACTCGTAAAGACAGGCACAAGTTGGTCAACTCCTTCTTAACAACAGCCAGTAAGTTTTAGAGGACCAGGGAGTCCTCTAGTTATTTTTCTGTTCCTTTTATAGTCTCACGTTACTGGTTTGCTATGGCAATATGTTGGGTTTGGGAATTGACTATACAAAGTCAGCTTATAGTCTACTTCTACTTGTCTTGGATTTTTTTCAGATGGACCCAGAATGCTCAGCGAACAGCCATCAGTGGCACAGCATTGGGTCCATCTGTGAACAGGCTCTCTTCTGTAGCCTGGTGTCACATTTCTCTGGTTGAGGACCCTTTGGGCTCCCTAGCCATTTTGCTATTTGCTAGAAGCATCAGCCCCAGAGGACTGTCCTGCTGCCCCAGGTGTCTATCACTGGCCTAGAGAGAACTCAAGAACTCGGAACTTAAATAAGATTAAGAGAAGGTATTTCACAGCTCTTTTTCTGTTCCCCTCTTCAGAGCTGTCCCATCACCAAACCCGACCTGACAGGACCCACAGGCAGCACTTAGACGATGTGGGGTCTGTGCCTGTGGTGGAGCGAGTGACAGCGCCAAAAGCAGAGCGCTTGCCCAACCCACCACCACTCGTGCATGACCCAAACCACAGCAAAATGAGATTGCGAGACCATTCATCTGAGAGAAGTGAAGGTAGGGCCAGGCCCGGCACCTTTACCTGCATTGCACCTGCTCGGGGCTTTCTGGGGCAGCCTGCGCTTCTCTTAATTGCCCCCAGCTTTGTCCTTCACTCTAGGAAGGCAGAGTAGAGGGACCTTACTGCTTCTAAATGCAGGCCACTTCTTACTGCTGCAGCAACCTCTGCCCAGCCCCTTACCAGTTTGCTTCACCTTTTTATCCTCCAGGCTTAGAAAGCATTTTGCCTTTACTGTGTATTGCTGGAATTCCTAGCCTTTGCTAGGAATTATAAGTAGAGCTGGTAGAGGTAGCCACATATTCTTCTTTTCTGTTGACTTCTGCAGTGTTGAAGCATCACACAGACTTGAGCAGTTCGAGCTACTTGGCAGCCTCTCACCATTCACCGCACAGTCCTTTGGTGCGACAGCTCTCCACCTCATCAGACACCTCTGCATCCACCAGCTCCAGCCCACAGGTTACAGCCAGCACATCTGTAAGTACCTGCATGAAATTGGCCGCACAGCCTTTCTGCAGTTTCAGCTCATTCTAATGTCTCTTTGGGACAGTTTAGAGAGTGAATTATGAAGCCCAGGGCAGTTATGGGGACTCAACTCATTTCAGAGAGGAAGGGAGAGAGGGGTAGAAACATCAGTGATGAGAGAGAATCATTGATTGGCTGCCTCCTGCATGCCCCACACTGGGGATTGAGCCCACAACCCAGGCATGTGCTTTGGACTGGAATCGAACCTGGGACCCTTCAGTCTGCAGGCCAATGCTCTATCCACTGAGCCAAACCAGCTAGGGTGTTATGTGTCTTTTTAAAATCAGAGTGGTGGTATTTGATTTTCAACAGAAAATCAAATTGAGTTGTTTTTCATAATAGAGATGGATCTGTGTTGAGCCATCCATAGAAAGCTTGATGCAGAGAAAAACCCTTAAAGTGGTCTATGACTATTCAAGATCTGTGGGACTAAGTTTCACATAGCACTCAACAGTACCATGGCTCTAACCCTCTTAGTCTAAGAAGTAAGCCAAGAGAAGTGATACCTATAGGTATTAAAGACATTAGATTTCCCAGCTTTTAACTCTACTGGTGAGTGGAGCTACTGTACCAAGAATAAAGACTGATGTTAGGGTGCCTGGAACAGAAGGGAGAAGGCCCATGCTTTTCCGAGGTACAGAGCAGAATTACAGATCCAGCAGGCTACCTTGGCAGTGCTTACTGGTACACTCACAGTGACCTCATAAGTACTGCATTCTATCCAGAAAACTGGTCTCATAGCCATTTCAGACACACATTAGAATTTCGTTATAATATTTAGTTCGTCAAGGTGTGCCTCCTTGAATACATCTACCTGTAGTGGCTTAACTAAGGCTTTCCAAAGTTAAATTAATTGCATAAGCAAGGCAATTTGTGATGGTTATAATTGTGATTCAAACCCAGGCCGCCCGGCTACAGAGCTGGCTCTCTTACATTACATACACAGTGTTGACCACTGGGGCACCCCATGGCAGAGGCACCTTATGCAGGTGCTTTGAAACCCCTTCAGAACTGACATCAAGAAACTTCTAAGCCCACAAAATGTGCTCACTAGGTAACTGTGATCAGGTAGGAATTCACATTGTTCTGTCTTTGCTCTTAATAGTCTCCATGTTCCTTCCTCTTCTTCACCTCCTACATTCCACAAATTTTGTCTAAATAGGTATATGTAGTATCTATCACAAACTTAGCTACCCATCAGCAAAAGGTAGATAACCAAAAGACCAAAGGATTTCAGAGAGAGTTGAATTCTGATAGAAAATCTGAACTCTGAGATTCAGTATTTCTCACCTACCAACCCTCCTGTGTCTGGAGACTGTAAACTTGGGCCTGGATCATTTGACATTTTTACTTATTATTTATTGAGTATAAATTTTGTACATAACCCTGTGTTAATCATTAAGGCTCTTGCTGCCTTTTTTTTTTTTTTCTCTAAGAAGCTGGATTTATTTACTAAAGTGAAAGCCCAGATACTTAAAATAAGGTAGAGAAACTAAAGGACATGGAGAGACATTTAGGGGGGCAGAGAGCAGGAAGAGGTGTGTATGCTAGTGCTTCACAAAAGATTGTGGATGCATCGGAATCAACTCAATTACTTTTAAAAATATCCCTGAAGATTCTGATTTCATAGTCAGAAAGGGGAGTCCGAGAATTTTTTTTTTTTTTTAAGCTCTCCCTCTTCATCTTGCTTCTGATGTGCAACCAGGTTTGGGAACCACTATCCATTCCCATCACCTGCTCTCTCTGATTCTAAACAGGAGAAGAGCAGTTATGTTCAACCAAATTAGTATCTGACACAATGGGGGCGAGTCATTTTAGGGAAAATATATACCTGTTTCTGGCAGCAATTTCACTTTTTTAAAAAATTTATTTTATAGAGAAAGAAACAGCGGTTGGCTGCCTCATGTACGCCCCCTACTAGGGATCAAACCCGAAACCTGGGCATGTGCCTGACTGGGAATTGAACCAGTGGCCTGTTGTATGGGATGACACTCAACCACCTGAGCCGTACCAGCCGAGCTCGCATTCATTCTTTTTTTTTAAATATATTTTATTGTGGGGTTTTTTTGTGTGTTTTTTTACAGAGAGGATGGGAGAGGGATAGACAGTTAGAAACATCGATGAGAGAGAAACATCGATCAGCTGCCTCCTACACACCTCCCACTGGGGATGTGCCCACAACCAAGGTACATGCCCTTGACCGGAATCGAACCTAGGACCTTTCAGTCCATAGGCTGACGCTCTATCCACTGAGCCAAACCGGTTAGGATTCGCATTCATTCTTGATTAAGGTATATGGAAAGCTATCTGTTGGGGTTTCCTTAAGGAACTCTTCTTATAGTAGGACATACAGTTTCAACAAAGGTGTGGCAGTCAATGACAGTCTATTCCAGTGATTTTCAACCAATATGCTGCAAGAATTTTTAAAACATGCAATACCTGACTATGTAGTCCAGGGCACTGACCTCTTTTCCCTTAGATTGTCAAATAAGAAAATGACAACAGCCAACACAACCATATCCATCTGGTGTGACTGAATCAAAATTATACCTTTTGTTGTTGTTGTTACATCAGGAAAAAATATATTCTTGGGTGTGCCACAAAATTTTACTAATTAGTTTACATGTGCCATGAGATAGAAAAGGTTAAAAATCGCTGATTTTTTTCACTTGATAGAATAGGAACTTCAGGTGAGAAAGACATTGTGATAACCTTAAGTCATAGGTAATGCAGCTAAAGTCCTTGCCCAGGAAGCACACTGCCTTTCAACATTCTCTGAGAATGTCCTGAAATGATGGGGTGAGTCAATTATATGTCGCCCTCCAGGAACAGAGTAGAGTGGTTGGTTGTAGGGAACAACCTCTTCCTCATCTTCTTTCACTAACCTCTTCTGGGCCAAGCACACATGGTGGTTTGGGTTTGAATGCAGTCTCTTAGGTGTTTCCAGCTGTATTGTCGCCACGGCAGCACGTTTGTCACCCACTGTTTCCCTCTGGCCCCTCACAGCTCAATTGCCAGTCTCTGTGGCAGGGTGGAGGGTGTTTGCTGTCTGGGCACAAACAGCTAGTGGGCTTTTTCCTCCATCTACCAAGCCCTTTGGCTTTATTCCTTCTTTGATCTCCCAGCTGCTGTAGGTGCCCACCTTCTCATTGGATCCTCATTAGTCTTTCCCAAGAGTTTGATCTTCTCAACTTCCCTTTCCAGGAGTGAGCTATAGAACCCAGTCCTCTTCTTCAGTTTCTCTCCATTCATCTAGAAAGCTCTCAGCTCTTCCCCCAAGAATAATAGCCACAAAGAGGGAAATCACATAGTGGCTGAGCAGATGATGGGTTCAGACTTAGCTGAAGAGTTCAGATCTATAAGAAGGAGGTGATTTCATGACATCCAAGGTTAGATGATCTATTGAGCTGGACCTATTTTGGGGGCATCTTTCAGGATAAGGGAAATCATCTTTATAACCCGAAGAGTCACCACTAGGTTTAAGCATTGCTTTTAGGAGCTACTGTGAGTCTGAGTCATGGGTGGGGATAAAAAGGGGGAGCAGAAAGGATTTAAAGTGGAGAGAGGTGCCTGGCCGGAGTGGCTCAGTTGGTGTTAGGTGTCCTTACCATGCACCAGGAGGGTTGCAGGTGCAATTTCCAGTCAGGGCCCATGCCTGGGTTGCAGACTCGACCCCCGGTAGAGGGCATGAAGGGACAGCTGATTGCTATCTCTATCTCTCTTCCTCTTTGTCTAAAAAAAAAATCAATTTAAAATGTGTATTAAAAATTATTTTAAAGTAAGGGGAAAGGGTAGTAAAGGTGTTTATAGAGGAATAGGAACCACCACTGACTCAAGGCCCCAGAATATCCACCCTGTGAAATTCACAGAAGTCTCTTCACATGAGCCCATGAAGGGGGCGGGGGGACAGTGAGACCTGTGCACAGGAGGTACTTATCAGGACCCACCTAATGTTTCTCCTGAGGGCTTTGTTATGGGAGACCATCTCCTAGAAGCAAGCAGCTGCTGCCCAGCCCCCACCCATGGGACCCAAGTGCCTGTTTATTGGTGATTCTGTTTTAAGTCTCTGGTGTATGCTTTGATGTTTGTAGAATTGTGCTTCTTTCAAACTTACCTTTGTCTTACAGCAGCCAATAAGGAGGAGAAGGGGAGAGAGCTCATTTGACATTAACAACATTGTCATCCCAATGTCTGTTGCTGCAACAACCCGTGTAGAGAAACTGCAATACAAGGAAATCCTTACTCCCAGGTAGAGGACTTAAATAAATCTGCTTCTCTCCTTATTCCTTTTTACTTTGTCTCTCGTCACTGAGCTCTGGGTCCTAGCTTTGAGTTTTGTCTTCTCTTTAAGAGGAAGTTGTGTGTAACAGAAGTGAAATTATTTCTTATTAGTTCTCTCTCATTCCATTATTTAAGTCTAATCCAGTGGTTCTCAACCTTCTGGCCCTTTAAATACAGTTCCTCATGTTGTGACCCAACCATAAAATTATTTTCGTTGCTACTTCATAACTGTAATGTTGCTACTGTTATGAATCGTCATGTAAATATCTGATATGCAGGATGGTCTTAGGCGACCCCTGTAAAGGGTCGTTGGACCACCAAAGGTGTTGCGACCCACAGGTTGAGAACCGCTGGTCTAATCAGCCCTCAGGCCACAAAGTGGTGATAGTCGTTATTTTGTTTTGACACAACAATGTGTTTTAAAATACTGAATTTGTTGTCAGCATCAACGCAGGACTTCACATATGAATCTCTGTTTCTAGCTTTTGTTGTTATATCAGAAGATTGGGTGACCGTGTATATGCGATCCCATGTGGTAGCAATCTGCTGGTGCTAAATAGTGGTGGTCCCTTTAAATAGGTTCCTTTGTTTTTGTCAGTCTCGAACCTGCATTGGGTTTTTGGCCCTTGTGGATATTGAGTGTGGGGCCTCTTTTAGAGGCCTCCAGGGCAAAGGAGGACAAGCTCTATAAGAGGGCAGAGCCTGCCAGCAGAAAGCAGTGTCACTCATAGGTACATGGCTCTCATTCTTGCATGGACATGTTGAACCTGCTCCGGAAACTTGACATCTCACGATTGTCCCTTCTTGGTTTTGCAGCTGGAGGGAGGTTGATTTTCGGTCTCTGAAGGGGAATCCTGACGAAGAGAACGAAGAGGTAATGGCATGGTCATTCTTTCTTAAAGAAGATACACACACGTGGGTGTACACATCCAGACCTGTGGTGTCAAATGCTGCAAGCTCACATTCCTGTTTTGACAGGGAAGAGGCTAGTGTGGGGTGGGGCTGGCTCTAGAATTGACCTACCCATTCTTAAACTCGGCTTTCTGGAAGAAATTGTTAATCATTGAAGCTGCTCTATTGCAGATCGAGGACTTGTCTGATGCAGCCTTCGCCGCCCTGCATGCCAAATGTGAGGAGATGGAGAGGGCTAGGTGGCTGTGGACCACAAGCGTGCCACCCCAGCGGCGGGGCAGCAGGTGATGGGACAGGGAATTTGGGCCGTGTCCATGGAATTGCCACTGCATCTCAATTGCTTTTGCTCTTCATATTCAGCCATTGGCAGTAGCCGAGAATACAGAAGTTCCTTGGTGTTTGTTGCAACCAGTGAGAGTATAAGCAGTCAGACTCTGGTCTCCTGAAAAGCAGGCTGACTGACATTTGGAGGCCTCACCACACACTGTCTTTCCTTTGGACAGTGGAGCATGGTTGTGTGGTCGTGCTCAAAAGAACTGCCCCACCTTATCTCCAGTTACTGTTCACAGTTGCAGAAGCCCTCGGGATTCCTAACTAGAAAGATTGAGATTTTGCTCTTTCCTTTGACTATAATTTTCCGAGTCTGAACTAATTTCCCTTCCCCTGTGAGTTCTAGGCATTGGGCAGGGATCAGGGCTGGCATTGTTCAGCCCTGGCTTTCTTTTGGGATGACAGTTCTAGATGTCATATTGTGTAGCCACCTTTGTACTCGGTGGTGGGAGGACGTGAGGGGATTTGTGATTCCTGGGAAAGAACTGTTGGTGTTAGTCTGCCTTGGCTCCTCTGGTGGGACACTTGCTTTCAAGCCTCTCCAGAACCCTCCTCCCCCACCCCCCAATAATATACTAGAAATTCCCTTTACTCAGGCACTCACATTTGCACTTCTTGGTGTACAGGTCTTACAGGTCATCAGACGGCCGGACAACCCCCCAGCTGGGCAGTGCCAACCCCTCCACCCCCCAACCCCCCTCTCCTGATGTCAGTAGTAGCCACTCTTTGTCGGAGTTCTCCCACGGTCAGTCCCCCAGGAGTCCCATCAGCCCGGAACTACACTCGGCCCCCCTCACCCCTGTGGCACGGGACACTCTACGACACCTAACCAGTGACGACACCCGTTGTTCCACGCCAGAGCTGGGGCTGGACGAGCAGGTAAGGGATGCTGCCTTTGCATGGGTTGGCAGGTGGGGGGTGAGATGGGGAAGGGGCAGCACTGCTGAAGATGGATCTTCATGTCGTGACTCCCTCCCATTGTGAAGGGGAGGAGGGGGGCTGCACTTGAAATTGACCTTCTGAAGGCACAATGGAACTGGCCATGGTTAAAAGGGCGTCCACTCTGTGAGGGGTCTTCCCAAACCACCCAGGAACTCGAGAGAGACTGGTCAGGGACTCTAGTCCACATGTGTTGGGGCAGGAGGCAACTGGTACTGGGTGCTCACCAAGGCAACTTGTCTGTCCACAGTCTGTCCAGCCATGGGAGCGGCGAACCTTCCCCCTGGCGTACAGTCCCCAAGCAGAGTGTGAGGACCAACTGGATGCGCAGGAACGGGCAGCTCGCTGCACTCGGCGCACCTCAGGCAGCAAGACTGGTCGAGAGACAGAGGTGGCACCCACCTCACCTCCCGTTGTCCCCCTCAAGAGTCGGCATCTAGCAGCAACAGTCACAGCTCAGCGTCCAACTCACAGATGAGCGGGAGACGAGAATCTAAAGACTCACTAACTATTGGCATTAAAGCTTCAGAAATCTCTGCGTTTGATATTCAAACATCATATGCCGGAAATTTTCACAGTTTTTAGTGAATTTAAGGAATTTAGATTCTACTTTGTTATTTTTTTTTTCTCATTTTGATTTTTGTTTTGTTTTGGTTTTGGTTTCCATGTTTGTTGTCACACACCTGAGCACTTCCTCCAGCTGGCAAACAGAAGTTCAGGATAAGACCCTGCCGGCCTGGTCCTGGCACATCCTCTGCACTGTTGAATCACTGGACTTAGCGGCGTTTGATGACCACCTCTCCCTCGCACCTGTGGGCAGGGTGGAACAGCCAAGTGGGCAGAGGGAATGGAAAGCTCCAGCTCAGTATTGCCACCTTAGGTTAGGGTGGGAGAACAGCTCACTCTGGGCTCTTACGCCTCCCCACTCCTCCGCTCCCCACCCACCTGTGGCTTGGCTCAGCTCCAGCCCTCCTGGCTGGGTCTCCCTTGGCCATCTGTGCTGGAGCACCCGCGCCAGAGCCTCAGCTGTAACTGCCAGCTAGAATGGCTTCCCCTGTCACCCAGATCTCGGAGACGGATGTGGGGTTTCCTCTGCATTTGGTCATCTCTGTATTGACTCCTTAACTGCAGTTAACTTGGCTGTGGCTGCTCAGGTCCCCATCCTGCCCCTTTGTGCTCTCTTGTCTGCTCCCCATGCCATATACATACCTACGCACACCAGTTCTTCCACTGGGACTTTTCTACCCTCTCCTGTTCCATGAAGCTAGAGTTAGGACTACTTGACCTCTATTCCCACCTCTGCAAACCAGGGGTCTGGGAAGTGAGCAGCCATTTCTTCTATGTAATTCAGTTTTCTCCGGCTGAGTCATTCAGTCGTTTCCTTCCCCCTCCAGTTCCCTGTCAGTGTCAGTCGGCCCTTCCTCTTTTAAGTTTCCCTTTCCTGTGGAACATTGTCTGGTCCCAGCTGTGGTTCCCATCTCTCCCCCGTGATCACTCCCTGGTTGTTACCCTTGTGCCTGTCTCATGTATGATCACATTACCAAAAGGGGCAATAAGGACTTTTTTTTTTTTTTGCCATTTTGTAATCATATAAAAATAGTAAGCAAACTGCTTAATGGTTGGGGTTTTTTCACAATTTTCAACATTAGTGATTCTTTTTGATTCTGTTTGCAAGTTAAAGGGTTTGTCATTGTTTCTTTAAAAAAAACAATAATGCACCATATCCCTATGCATAAAGTGCTTCTTCTATTTATAAGGTTGAAAATTCTGAATAACCCTTTTAGCATTGTAAAAAAAACAAAAAAACAAAAACAAAAATGGAAAAAAAAACCTTGTATTTTGTAAATATTTTCTTTTTTTCTGCTTTGAGCTGTGTATTGGCAGCGAAACATGTAGCTGTCTTTGTTCTATAGAAATGCTTTTCTTCAGAGAAGCTGATCTTTGTTAATGTCTTGATTCTGTTCGCAAAGCACAGACTAGTGCTTAAAAAAAAAAAGGAAGGAAAAAATGAAAAAAATAATAAAAAAAGTTACAGAACTTTGTGTGCTGGGCCTTTTTTGCCACTTGGACATGGTATTGCTGCACAGTTCTCTGGTGTCCTGACTTGCTGTGGACTTTGAGACGTCTCTGTTCTGTCGTATGGGCACCTCGCGGGGTCCTCTTATCATCACCAGAAAGCGGGTGGGAGCCAGTGAGAACATACACTTTGTATGGAGCCTGAGCTGCTTACCTGCTGCCTGAGATTACAGTACCTTTGAGGAGGCCAGGTGCTTGATTTTCTTTCTATAAAGATGAGTAAGTGGGTGGGCCTGTTCTTTATTTTTTTTTTCCTTTTCATGGCAGTCAAGTTGAAACCGCCAATGAGCTGCCTATCCTGGTCGGGGAAGCAGCAGTTGGCGAGGTCACGTTTGTGGCCGCCCTGTTGCTGCTCCTCTAGTTACAGTTGCGATCTCTACTTCAGCTTCTGTCTGCAGTGGCTAAGGAAAAGCTGAGCAAAGTCATATTTTGAAACTTGGAAAATCTAAGGGCTCCACGTTAAGACCTTGAACTGATTACTGAGGAACAAAAGATGATGGTTCGTTTTGTTGTTTCTCCTTGTGACATTGCGAGGGCTTGGCTGGTATCCCTGTTGTGATTTAGCAGACCTGTGCCCCAGCACTGCTCCCGGGGGAGGAAGGCTGCTCTGTAAGCCTGCAGGAGAGCTAAGCCATTCCTTCAGCTGATTGGCTGGTGTTCTGCTTCAGCCCCAGGTCTCGAGGCTCATTTCCAGGGAGAAGAAAACATCTCATATACCAACCCCAGTCTTTTCAGGGTTGAAATCACTAGAATGGGGCAGGCCCAAGGGTATTGACCAGGACCTTTCTGAGCACCAGAATGAGACAGTCGGTCTGAAAATGAAAAGGTTGAGAACTCTTCTTTCACCTTCTGGGCCCTAGAGAGAGTTGGTAAACCCTCATGGCCCGGTTTTAACAATTGTCTTTC